GTGGCTCATCGGATATCTGGTACTGGTTAGTTGTGTGTCTTTTACAGGACGTTGCAGAACCAACCCCTGGCTGTTGTGTGGTTTCTCTAGGCAAATTAACGTACAGTAGTTTGCCATTGCTTTCTGGATGGCATACCACTGTCGAAACCAACGCAAGGCGCAGGGCCCGCAGCTGGGATCGAACCCGGCACCCCGGCATTACGAAGCGTTCGCATCGACTTAGCCACAGAGCTGACTATCTGGTACCAGATACGTATTTATAGATTAATCAACAATCAATGGGTGATGTGAGCAGTACCAGACCGGTGGCAATGATATAGGAAGCCTTTTCCTGGAGTTAATGCGGGTGGTTCTCAAATGATTTTCAGCGGTTTCTTTGATGGCTTGTGTGGCTATGTCGCATCCCTAGTGTCAGCACACATGTCTTTACAAAAAAATAGACGCGCAATTTCTCCGAAAATGTACGGTTTATTAAAAAACCCTCACTGCATCCTTCCACACACAGAGGAAGCAGTAGAAGAGAGTACAGTATTCTATATAGGTGGGTACACTCAAGGACACATACAGATACTGCACACATACAGTAATAACGCCTCACTTGATAACGTAAAGTACAGCATACTGGAGGGCATAGTACTCAACATAAGGGAATAAAGGGAATAGTGCCTCAAGCAGGAAGGCACAGTGCCTCACACAGAAGAGAACAGTAAATATCTCACACGGGAGGAAACCGTACCTATATATATTGCAATCCAGTTTCGTCCTTTTTAAGACGAATTTTTTTGTTATTTGAAGCCCCACCCTGGCTTTTGCCAGGGGCCGCAATATAGGCAGACCATAAATATGGCCAATTGTCTGAACGCGGTTTCTGGGACCTCTCCACGGCGATCCTCATCCACATTGTGGCATTTGGGTGTTTATCGCTTATGTGATGTCCTAATGGGGTAGAAAGTCAGTCAGTCAACCGTACCTCACAAATGAGGAACAAGTACCTCACAAAGGAGGAAACCGTACCTCACAAAGGAGGAGCTAGTACCTCACAAAGTAGGAAACCGTACCTCACAAAGTGGGAAACCTTACCTCACAAAGGAGGAAACCGTACCTCACAAAGTGGGAAACCTTACCTCACAAAGGAGGAAACCGTACCTCACAAAGGAGGAAACCGTACCTCACAAAGGAGGAAACCGTACCTCACAAAGGAGGAAACCGTACCTCGCAAAGGAGGAAACCGTACCTTACAAAGGAGGAAACCGTACCTCACAAAGGAGGAAACCGTACCTCACAAAGGAGGAAACCGTACCTCACAAAGGAGGAAACCGTACCTCACAAAGGAGGAAACCGTACCTCACAAAGGAGGAAACCGTACCTCGCAAAGGAGGAAACCGTACCTCACAAAGGAGGAGCCAGTACCTCACAAAGTGGGAAACCTTACCTCACAAAGGAGGAGCCAGTACCTCACAAAGTGGGAAACCTTACCTCACAAAGGAGGAAACCGTACCTCACAAAGGAGGAAACCGTACCTCACAAAGGAGGAACGAATACCTCACAAAGGGGGAACAAGTACCTCACAAAGGAGGAAACAGTACCTCACAAAGGAGGAGCTAGTATCTCACAAAGGAGGAAACCGTACCTCACAAAAGTCATTCACAAGTCATTGTTGCTGATCTGACCTTATTATCCCATGTCATTTCACGTTCCTCGATTTCCCTTTCTACCGCCCTTCTCCAGGTTTCCTGAGGTTGTCCACTTCTACTTTTTCTTTGTCTGCCGGAGAGCTGCCTTGCCAAAATGTCATGAGGCTTTCTGCAAACATGTCCATGCCATCTCTATCTACTTTCTTTAATATCATTTGCCAGTAATGAACATTTTTTTTTTCTCATTAGTTCTTCATTATGAACTTGTGTGGCTAGATTTTCGCATGATTTCCCTTATTCATTTATTTAGAAAAGTCTATGGTGTATATGTAACACAAGTTGCCGTCGTCTAAACGCTCAGTTACTGTTGTATATTCCGAGTTGTACCTTCAAATTAACCCCCTCTGACTTCTTTGTTTCCTAGTATCCTAAGATTATTGATTTCTACCAAGATTTACTATACTCGGATTATAAATGCTATACAATACCGGTATAATTAGAGCACATTGTAACTAAAATGTTGCTGATGATATTTATTATTTTTATTATCGTTGTGTGCTGAAATGATGTGTGAATGGAATAATGTATTTACGAAGTGAGGATAGAAGAGTAGAATTTAAGACAGGCCCGTGTGCCCAATTCCTAACCCTTTGAAAATAAAGTTGGTTGGTTGGTTGCTTCGTTCTATGTGTTAAGCATCGGGCTACCTATAAATTTCATAAGAGTCTACACTACTCAACGCCGCCTCGCTTAAGCTAACATTTGGGCTTCCATCGGCGCAGATTCCAGTGATTTCCTGTGACAAATGTGTTGACGGGAGCCAAGCTTGGAATGTCGAACGTATTCCGACGGAGGAAATTCGATTAGCCCCCAGGAGAAAAGGCCACTTTATTCACTATTCGCGACGAACACGCACGGCCAGGCATAAATGCTTTCTCAGGGTCGCCCCTCACACTAAAAAGAGTATATGCCTTTTCTGTGAGCTCCTCTTGGGTGTAGACACAGATGAGAGAATGTGGTCTGATGTGTTCATTGATCACCTAGCTCAGTTTCTAGATACCTACCTGGCCAGTCAACTTCCTGCCTACTTGCATACACATACAAGGAAACCAGGCGTGTCGGAATCAGGCGCATAGGCATCTTTACTCCCTCCCCCCTCTACGGATTCTAAATATTGGGCTGACTCCCCCCCCCCCTCCCCCCTTTTCGAGGGGAAAAAAGTTGCGAGAGGGAAAAACACCTCCCCTCCCTTCCAATTTCCCGTTCTTGTTTTATTTCAGTTTACCTATATAATAGTTTTTAATACATACTGTTATATTCATTTGCAATTCGGCACTTCATTGTAATAGACTATATCATCATCATCATCATCATCATCATCATCAACAATATTATTACTTACTGAAACGAGGCTTGGAGGCCTTAAGCATCCCACAATAGCTGTTTGTGTTTTGCTCACCCTGAAGCGAACTGACCGATGCACGCACGCACCCCCCCCCACACACACACACACTCACACACACACGCACACACGTGCATGTAGCAGGTTAGCAAGGAAGTTTGACTGCTCTCAGACCAAGACTATATTTATGTTCGAGGATGGGTGCAGCTACAATAATAATGTCTGATAATTTCTGGTATTATTGCTGTCTGTGGATTCAATTGTCTAGGGATAAACTTCATTTTGGTGGAAGTCTCCCATATACTAAACGTAAAGGCGTGTAAGTATTTATATGTCTCTCTATAGGCGCTGTTAGCACCGATGACTGTGCATGTTGTTTGTGTAAGTAAACATCAGCCAGTGCTGGATTTAGATACACGCTAAGCTACAACTTAGGGCCTCACAACCTTAAGGAGCCTCGCGAATTCTTTTCTTCCCACAAATGCAAGTTTCTTTTGATGCATTGAAAATCTCTAAAAATGTCCTATGTTGTAATTCAGAACGTTTTATAGAATTTTATAATACAATTAATAATTATGATTCTGCTATGGCAGAACCGACTGCGGCATCTCTGACATGGAAAATTGCACTGAAAATTGCAAAGGACAGGAAAGCATGGAAATTCCTCTCTGAAGCCTCAAGTGCCACTAGGCATAAAGAGAATTGATGATGATTGATAATATGGTTGAGGAGTAAAGAGAAAGTGACAGGTAACAGAGAGACAGCGACCACGTACATTAAAGAGTTGAACAAAAGCAGACCACAGGGCAGACAAGCAACGGTGGGGAGATATGACCAGCAACGGTGGGGAGATATGACCAGCAACGGTGGGGAGATATGACCAGCAACGGTGGGGAGAAATGACCAGCAATGGTGGGGAGATATGACCAGCAACGGTGGGGAGATAGGACCAGCAACGGTTGGGAGATAGGAACAGCAACGGTGTGGAGAAATGTCTAGCAACGGTGGGGAGATTTGACCAGCAACGGTAGGGAGATAATGCATATGTTGACTTTCAAACATTGCAATCATCAACTGAAAAGAGAAGGCCTGTTACCGAGATAAATGGGGTCGGATGATATTTTCAGCAATGTCTAAAGGACTTAGAATACCGGGGGGGGGGGGGGGGGGGGGGGGGGAAGAAAAAAGGCGAATTTTGGAAACCCCTTAGGGTAAGCTAAGAGTTGTGACACTTTAGAGAGTTGATTTTTAAAATGTACAAAGTGTCTTTACTACATGTAGCTGGCTCTTGTTTGAAGCGGCGAAGGACACGAGGTTGTATGACTTTGTATCGCCAAACTAGGATGTGGCATAGGAAGATTGGGGTCACTAGCTGGAAATTATTAGTAGGGTTTCCCTGCGCTAATGTGATTAAAACACCTGATCCCATGTTGAGCAGAGATCTATTCTTGGTTTGTAATCCAGGAGACAGCGGGTGGCTATGATGTCAGTCTCAATAACGTCCTCAAATAATTCAGTCTAGGCTATTCTGCGGGGTGCCGGGTTCGATCCGAGCTGGGAGCCATGCGCCTTGTGTTAGTCTCGAAAAAGGTATCAAGAAAGCCGACCGTCCAGTAGGCAATGGCAAACTACTAGACGTAAATTTGCCTAGAAAAACCACACAACAGCCATGGGCTGCTGGGGTTGGTTCTGCAACGTCCTGTAAAGGATACGCAACTAACTAACCTTTATACGCTGTTGTGTGGGACACTGCAACTACGCCATAAAAAAAAGGCTATTCTGATCTTTCCTCATCGCTCTATCGTATCTGTCTATCTGCCTGCTATGCAACCTGTCTATTGGCCTGATTATCTATCTGTCTGTCGGTCTGACTATGTTTCACATAGATTCCACGACAATACAGTTTTACCGAAATACTCTACAGGAGGTTACTTCAAGAATATATAAGAACAAAAAGGGCTCACCTGGCTCTGGTAGACTCCTCATGCTGCATGTGCTTGGCCCTCTCCATGACGCTCCTGATCTGGGCCACCTCCTCAGCCGTCAGGTGGCTGAGATCTGGCTCGGGTGCTTCCATTGGCGATGGTGCTCTAGTGCTCTCTACCGAAGATCTCACCCGAGAGTGGATCGAGTACATTGACGGGTACTCCGATATCGGAGTGCTCTCCTGTGACGAAGGTACACTGCCTTCGTTGCCCATTTTTAAAATACTAAAGAGATAAGTTGTCAACAAATAAACGCTAATCTGAAATGTGCATAAGACAAAAACGAAGCAGCGGAGGGCTATATATCCGATGGAAGTTGGCGATCCACAAGAGCTTATTAAGTCAAAAGAGCTGACAACACTTGGATAATCAAGAATATAGGACTGTTGTTTCTGGTGTGGATGTTCAAACTGCTCTACAACTACTGAATGTGAACCTCCAGACTCAAGCAAAAACGGAGACTTTGGCCCAGTCAGAGAACAAGAAGGGACACTTAGTGTGTCAAACAGGTTTCGGCAATTCACAGTGCTGGTGTTTGACAAGTAGTGAAATCTGGTATAGTTGCATCTTCTGAGGTCATGATGGAGATTCCTACATCTGCCATGCTTTGTCTCCTTTGTGATGTTGATACCAGGGGCTCCTGTTCTACCAGTAGAAGGTGTCCTAGAAGGTGTCCTAGAAGGTGTCCATCTTTGAAGAAGGTAGTGGTCACTCATTGCCACACCATGGCCAGGTTATTTTTCATATTTTATCTGAAATAAAAACAGAGCAAAGAACTGTCAAAAAGAGCAACAATTTCCTTGTGTCTAAACTGTTACTTAGTCGATGTTTTAGAGCTGAAAGATGGTTAAAAACAAAGAGAAAAGTGCAATGTTCACTAAAAGTTATCCTACTATTTCATCTGTGCAGCGCTAATATAAGTCTTTGTCTTCTGTTGAGAATTCTCCGTCGTCGTTGATTCTGTGAGTGTTTTCAAAGTTATATTCTTAATGAAATAACAAATACTACGTTGTTAAAACACAAGGATAACAGTCACGTGAACACGATTCGTAATGAAAATGATTACTGTGGTACTGAGGACGCACAGTGCTGCGGAAATCCAGCCAATCCGGTTCATTAAAAATGTAGGTGGTTTTGAGATAAGAATCAATGTCACTTGATTCCGCGCTTCAAAATGAAAAAAAAAAAAATAACGTGAACGTTCCTGTAAATTTGTACCTCATCAATAATGTGACCCTTGGTTCAGAATTGACACATTTACCTCTGCCCGTTTGGCTTTGGAAGTCAACCAATTATTGAAACATTGCCGCCTAAATAGGCTTCTGAATTCTTCCAGAAAATACCCGGCAGGCGAACAACATGGGGGTTTTTAGCAAAAGCGAATGGACGTCGTTTAGTGCAACAAAGCCTGGCATATAATACCACAACATCTAGTTTGAGAACAGAGGTGGAGGCAGTCGTGCAGCCTTTCGCTGGCTTGAGAATCAGTTGTACACACATGTCGTAATTGTAACCGACTCACACATCATGTTGAGAAAAGTTGAGACTCGTATGCTCGGTGAAGAGTGGCAAGAATCACTTCAGAGATCCGGGGTAGTTAGCGTTCTTTGGATATTTTCCCAAGGATATACCCGTGTATTAGAAAATAAACAAGTAGATAGACTGGCCGATTCTCCACAATTTAGTGGTAAACTTATGCATAACAACCCAGACGCTGAGGGAACCCTTTCGGGGAGAGAGGGGTTTGGTGGGGGGGGGGGTGTGGCCGAGTGAACAGTGCAGATGGATCATCATGGTCTGAAGAGAATGGCGCTGCGGGGACTGACCAGAGATCAGGTCGACGATCAGCACTCAAGGGAAAGAAGAGACGGGTATACAATCAAATCGCTATTGGTACCACTGGAGCTGGAGCAGCGCTTGTTGCTAAAGATGGCTTATGTGAATGTCCCAAGTGCTAAAATATCGATTCCTTATTAAACAATTTCCCCGAAAGAAAGAACACACGAACGGAACTGTCTGACCTCGTTGGTTTGCAGTGCTCCGGCATGGTGTCAGTGGGGGGAAATATAAAACCTAACTTGGCTAGAGAACTGACAGCCAGTGGTTTGCCTTGTTATTTATGTACGTCCTATGGTCGCCTGCGAGTCCAGAAGATGATAAACATTGACATTTTACCAGATTTCAACACTGAAGGAATAAAGAACTTCATGCCCAGAAAATTTAAATAATTCAACGTGTATTAATTGCTAATATTGGTTACAAACAGTCAGGAAGAACCACAAATGAAGATCTATCTGTTTCTTAGGACGGCAGGCGCATCAAAGTCAGGGTCGGCCACCAAGGAGGGCAAAAACAGTTGCCAAACTAGCTAAGAACAGCCACCAAATAAGCCACGAACAGACACGAAGCCAAACCATGGAACATCAACATATTGATCCATATATCGACCGCAGCCTAGGCCACACATATAGACACCAAAGAAAACTGTAGAACTGTTTCTGCAATTATGAAAATTACCGGGAAATATACGAGATTTTAAAAATCCACACCAACACGGTTTTTAGGATGTAAAGAATGGCTTGCTTATCGATTCGGTATTCTCCCCGTGAACTGCTGATCTTTAACTTGTGGGGAGTGACAGCTTTTCTGCATCAATCCTAACTCTCGTATTCCCAGTCCCAACCCTCGTTTTGCTGGTCCTAACTGTCGTATTCCCAGTCCCAACCCTCGTTTTGCTGGTCCTAACTGTCGTATTGTCAGTTCCAACCCTCGTTTTGCTGGTCCTAACTGTCGTATTGTCAGTCCCAACCCTCGTTTTGCTGATCCTAACTGTCGTATTGTCAGTTCCAACCCTCGTTTTGCTGATCCTAACTGTCGTATTGTCAGTTCCAACCCTCGTTTTGCTGATCCTAACTGTCGTATTGTCAGTTCCAACCCTCGTTTTGCTGATCCTAACTGTCGTATTGACAGTTCCAACCCTCGTTTTGCTGATCCTAACTGTCGTATTGTCAGTTCCAACCCTCGTTTTGCTGGTCCTAACTGTCGTATTGCCGGTCACAATCGATGTATTGCCAGTCCTAACCGCCGTGTTTCCAGTCCCTACTGTCCTATTGTCCGAGCTAACTGTCGTATTGTCAGTGACAACTGTTGTATTATAATTTTCCTAATATCTTCTAAGAATCATAGTGTGTGTGTTTTGAGAGAGAGAGAGAGAGAGAGAGAGAGAGAGAGAGAGAGCGAGAGGGAGAGAGAGAGAGAGAGAGAGCACTGGTCACAGCCCCCTCAGCTCAGACGCGCCGACACAAAGAAATAAAAAAAACAAGAGAGATACAGATAGAGAGAAAAAAGTGGGAGTGGGAGGGGGATGGGGGGGGGGGGGTAGTGGTGCTTTAAAAATAGGTAAGGCTGAAGGAACCTAATCCTAGTCTCACAGGCGGATGAATCCAGTTGATTAAAAATGCAAGTTGGGTAAGACACGGATCAAAGACGCGTAACTCGGAATTTGGTTTAAAAAAAATGTATGCCTAATTTGACGTTAGCAATCGTCGGTTTGTGGTGCATATTTCTGCAGTGCATTTAAAATCGTACCCTCACACTTGAACAAATACCTCGGAAACTCCTCTATGAATCAAAACGAATTTCTCCGTGTGGTCTTAGAGTGTTAACGTCCTTATGACTGTAAAATGCACAATTGCACAGGTGTTGTTGTTTTAGTTTTTGAATGCAGCGAAATAATCTGATCTTCGTTTGACTTATAATCTGTGCACCCATTAAAAAATAGAATATACAGTAACAGACACACGCGTAATTTTTTTTTAATCAGTTCTCATGTGCAGTGATGCGTGGTGATTATTGAGAAGGCCTATCCGGCATACAATGAAAAATTCGCAGCACACGAAGACTTATGCTGGAGATGACCACATAAGAGTGAAAAGTCTATGAAACGTGTGCAATTTGGTGTTTCGAAAAGTCATTTAGTAAAATAACTGTGAGCACGCTGATTTTTTGCTTTTAATCGGTGTCTGGTGTTTTTTTTTTCCCACACGGCACATAAAGCAGAATGAAAACTATACGCTTGGATGAGTATCGAATCATTGATGTTTTTGCATTTTTACGCTCGTTGGCGGGGGCTTTCCATGGTGACGTATATGCTTAAAAAGGAGGAAAACATGATACCCCTAGCTAGACTGTAGGAGTGTCCCTGAAAACCCCCTACGAAATTACGAGATGGGGTGACGTTCGTAAGTTGTACCGAGGGATCATATCGTGGTTCAGCCTCGCTGTCTCCCAAATGATGACAGACACTCGCTGTAGAGACAAGCAAACTACCGTACCTGGTCAGCAAATACCTGTAAATGTTATTTTCACAACATAGGCCTACCATCTACCTGATATGTGAACAATGGACTATAGACATCACTCCTTCATACCTAGGTGACAATTCCAACAAAAACCAAAAAAGTAAAGGGCCCTTGCCATACCTTTAGGAACATGAAGCATCTCGGACTGACTGGTTAGTTGCGTGTCCTTTACAGGACGTTACAGAACCAACCCCAACAGCCCTGGCTGTTGTTTTAGGCAAACTTACGTCCAGTAGTTTGCCATTGCTTTCTGGTCTGTCTGCTTTCTTGATACCACTGTCGAAACCAACGCAAGGCGCATGGCCAGCAGCTGGGATCGAACCCGGCATCCCGGCATTACGAAGCGTTCGCGTCGACTTAGCCACAGAGCCTACATCGGACTGTCTAGACATTGATTTTATAGATAAACTGGCACTCTGTGGTTGTTAACATCTCGCCTTTCTACTTTTACTTCCCAGGACATTACCTAGTACATATTTAAGGGTGGGTTGACCGCGCGAACCATGTGGAACTGGACCCTGGTCAGCAGGGACGGACAACTCGTTCAGATGGTATATCTCAGACTTCAAAACAGTCGACACATCTAGCTAAGTAATACACTTTCAAACAGTCGCCGGATCTTTACAAATTACCAAATTCTCTCTCTCTCTCTCTCTCTCTCTCTCTCTCTCTCTCTCTCTCTCTCTCTCTCTCTCTCTCTCTCTCTCTCTCTCTCTCTCTCTCTCTCTCTCTCTCTCTCTCTCTCTCTCTCTCTCTCTCTCTCTCTCTCTCTCTCTCTCTCTCTCAGTAATTTCTTTGAAGCCAATATAGAAAATTTAAAAGTCACAATGCCAAACTGTCCATGTGATTTATCACTGCTATCAGCATTTTGTGAAAAAAAAATGCTCTGAGGACATTCCTTCTGACATTCCTCTCATGACAGTTGCGGAAGTTTTTATACATTTCAACTGTCTCAGAAACAGTAATACATCCGGTTTAGACGGAATCAGCTTCGTAGTGCTGCCGCAGTTATTTGTGAGTTGATGACCTTTATTTACAACCAATGTCTTGTCAAAGGCTACTTCCCATCTGCATTTAAGATTGCCAAGGTGTATCCACATCTAAAATATGGTTCATTAAACAGTAGTATTCCAGGTAACTATAGACCAATCTCCCTGTTATCATCACTATCGAAACCATTAGAGAAACATATTCATAATGTAACTTTTCAGCACTTAGACCACAACAAACTTATAGTGGATAACCAATCAGGTTTTCGACCAAACTATTCTTGCCATACTGCTTTAACTAACATGATTGAAAAATGGCACCATAATGTTAATGATGAGAAAATATGTGGCGGAGTGTTTATAGAC